AATTGGGGCAGTACATAAATGAGCGAATGCTAGGAAGTGAGAGAGAAAGGAGAAAACAGGGGAAAATGAGAATGGTTTTGTGTGAATGGGAGTATGCAAAAAATGGCAGATGTTGCGAAAAAAAAAAATAGATTACATAAATCCTAATGCGTGACCTCGCTACTCCCAGTGCATATCCTGCGGTCCGCCTGGGCCGCCGTTCCACCATGGCCGGCCCTGACACAGTCCCCGAGACTCACGATGGAGCCTATTCTGAGGAAGCGCGAGGTTCCCGTGTGGACCGAGGCCCAGTACCTCGAGTTCACGAGAGCCCTGCGCCCGACCTACCTTGCCCTCGGCGCCTTCGGGGTCGCCAACTTGGCCTCGAACGGCCTCGAGAAGCTGGTGCTGAAGGTGATGGAGCGCGCGCAGGAGCGCTCCTTCGAGCGGGAGGTTCGCGCCCTGAGCAAGGTCCGGGGAATCGACGGCGTGCAGCAGATCGAAGCCGTCGTCCTCGAGGGCGAGTACTACGTCATCGCCAGCCGCTACGCCGGAGAAACGCTCGGGCAGTGCGTCGAGCAGACGCTGCTCTCCGGCGAGCAGCTGGAGGACGCCCTCGAGCAGGTGCGCGCCGCCCTCGAGCGCCTGCACGCGGCCGGCGTGACGCACTGGACCTCCACCAGGACAACGTGTGTGTCGCGGTCGCCGAGAGGCACGTGCAGGCGACCCTCATCGACCTCGGCACCGCCCGCCTCGAGGACGAGAGCTGCTTCGCCTAGTTCAAGAAGATGGACCTCGACGATTACAGCAAACTGTCCGAGACGACGAGAAAGGCTTTGGCTTCCAAGGACGAGACTGAGGACGAGGACGACCTAGACTAGGAAGACGAGGAGTAAGAAGAAATTCAAGAGTCAGACAAAGACGAGGCAGAGGAGGACCAGGAGGACGAGGACGACTTCATCATCTTCGCCTCTGACGACGAGGGGAAAGAATCAAACTGAAAGAATCACGGGGATGGAGAGGAGGAGGAGAGGACGAGGACTTCCTCACCTGGGAAGTCATCCTCACCGCTGATGAGAAACTGCCTGAACCAGTGAAGACAACGAAGGAAACAGCGATGAAACTGAAGATGTCTCAATAATGATAAAGAGGTCTTGTTAGGAACAGTGATTGGCCTTTCAAAATCCCTGCAAAGTTTCGAAAGCCTCGAGAGAGGGAGAGAGAGAGAGAGAGAGAGAAAGGAGGGAGAGGGAGAGAGAAAGAGAGATAGAGAGAGGGGGGGTGGAGAGAGAGAGTGAAAGTATGTGTACGTGTGTCCGCGTGTGTGTGTGTGTGTGTGTATGTTGTGATAGAGAAAGAGAGAGAGAGAAAGAGAGAGAGAGAGAGAGGGGGAGAAAGAAAGAGAGAGAGTGTGGTGAGAGAGAGAAGAGTGTGTGTGTGTGTGTGTGTGTTTGTTTGTGTGAAAGAGAGAGGGGGTGGGATATATATATATATTATAATATATATATATATATATATATATATATATATATATATATATACATACACACACACACACACACACACACACACACACACACACACATATAATATATATATATATATATATATATATATATATATATATATATATGTGTGTGTGTGTGTGTGTGTGTGTGTGTGTGTGTGTGTGTGTGTGTGTGTGTGTTTGGTGTGAAAGAGAGAGAAAGGGGGGGGGGGTAAGATCTATCTATATTTGTGTGTGTGTAAATTATATATATGTATAATATATTATATATATATATATATATATATATATATATATATATACATATATATACATATTATATATATATATATATATATATATATATATATATATATATATATATATATATATATATATATATACATATGTGTGGAATCTGTGTGTGTCCTTGTAATTGTATTTGTATACAAATGTATGTGTATAAAAATGTATACATGCATACATACACATATATTATACATATAATATATATATATATATATATATATATATATATATATATGTGTGTGTGTGTGTGTGTGTGTGTGTGTGTGTGTGTGTGTGTGTGTGTGTGTGTGTGTGGTGTATTGTTGGTAGGGGGTTGCCCTTTAAAATGAGCTGTGGGGGAAACAATGTCTCTTTGGTGGACATATAAACAGCACTTTACACGTGTAAAGTCAGTTGATGATGGCCTTTGCAAAGAGAAGTCTGGGGTGAGCGACCATCGGACGCCCTGGCGCTAAATTCAGGTCTCCATTGTCGACTTAAAACGTAGCATTAAACCTTTTGGAGCCTTCTTAATGGTGTGAGCATTGGTTCATGGCGAGGAAATGGCAGTTGCATGGTCGAAGCTTTATTGGAGGTAAGCATACATGAACGAGTTTCGTTCCATAAATAGCGAAGAAATAAATACAAGACTGGTAGGACAAATATGGTGATGAGAATTATTCTTTGAATCTACCACATCACTAGTGTGAATTTAGCAGAATATAAAAGTTGAAATGGAAGAGAAAGCCGATAGATTTAGTAGTCCTGACGTTCGTAGGGAAGAGGCACTGGCGTGGGTGCCACGGGGAGGTGGTCGCCCACGGGCTGGTAGCCGCCCACACCGGAGGTGAAGCTGAGCTTGATGGGCACGCCTTCGGGAGCGGTGTAGCTGGAGAAGGGACAGAGGCGTTTAGAGATATGCCACCAAGCTTTGCGCACACATGGTTGTGAGATAAGGTTCTGAAGGGATATGGTTGATGTGTTTGCGAAGCGTAAGGGACTCACCTCCATCCTCCCGAGGACTCCTGGCCATCAGCCTGTTTTCCGGCCTCGTTCCTGGCGATGCCGTTTCCAGTCTCGAAGTCGAAGGTGTACTCGCCGTAGGCGTTCTGTGTGCGGTCGTCCTTGAGGATCGGGATGGGCGTCTTGTAGCTGTCGGCGACGACCACGGCCACCAGGCAGGCGAGCTGTGTGGGGATTCAAGCATGAGAATCACAAATACAAAGACATTTCATGAATTCCTTCCTTACGAACAAAGTGTTTTTCTGTTTTTTGTTTCGTCACAATACACTATTTTTCCAGCTATGACCATAAATTTGTTCGAACAAAAGAAGCTAAATCGCTAAAAGCTCACACGAAAAGAGACTAAAGACGTGTGCTGGCATGGTGTATTGTGTTAGCTGTTGTTCCGAAAGACACAAGCTGTTATATAGCGTGGATGGTCCACAGAGGGCGGAGCTATCTCGTGGGCGGAGTTTGTGGGAGTCAGCAGTAAATGAACTTAGAAAGTGAGTGTCCCGAGCAAGTTCAAAATCTATGTCTATACATATGAACACATACACGGTATATATATATATATATATATATTTCATATGTTTGCATGCTTTATAAGTGTGTGTGGGCTTACGTAGGTGAGTCTGTGCATGTATATACTTATGCATATGTCCATATATGGGTATGACTTGATATACTCATAGAAAGACAGTTGATACAGATATAGATATGTACACATATACACAGGTATGCTGTCTATTCATCCAGGCATGCACACAGATACATATACTTATGCACACACACAAACACACATATATATACATATACATATATACACACACATACATATATATGTATATTCATAGATATACATATATACATATACATATGCACACACATATATACATGCACGTATACATAAACATGCATACATACATACGTATACATATATATGTATGTATTTATATCTACTATATATATATAATATATATATATATATAATATATATATATATATATATATATATACATATATATGTACACACACAGACATATGTGTGTGTGTGTATGAATATAATATATGTGTGTGTGTGTGTGGTGTGTGTGTGTGTGGTATGCATGTACGTATACATATATATGTATGTATTTATATCTATCTTCCTATATATATATTATATATATATATATATATATATATATATATATATATATATATATATATGTATGATGTACACACACAGACATATATGTGTGTGTATGAATATAATATATTATATATATATATATATATATATATATATATATATATATATGTTGTGTGTGTGGTGTGTGTGTGTGTGTGTGTGTGTGTACACATATATATGCACACACATACAGAAACATACACACTCATATCTATATATCCATACAGACTAGGGAGGCAAAATATAAGAATTCAATCTTTTAAAACCCTGATTTATCCAATGAAAGAATTAAAATGTCACCAATGCAGCCTGTGCTGTTTCGAAATTTTTCATATACACTCTATTAAAATATATTCTACTAAATTCACTGTTGCTGATCTTGTTGGGGAAATTCTCAAAATAGAGTAGTACATAATACTTTCAAAGTTTCTATCCCATGACATGCTCTTGAAACTTTATTAACTTTATTCTAAAAATACATTCTCGGTAGAGCGACCAGAGCCAGAGGTTTTAGAGGTTTAGGGAACCTCGAGAAAATGCAATTTTGACATTCCTAATTTTAATTTGAGTAGCATGACTTAATGGTTTTTAGGTTCATGGGGTGGATTGAATTCATTCCTTTATGGAGTGCATTCCAAAGACACTGGTGATAGCATCATTTTTGGGCAATTGCTTTTTATTCTATAAATTAATGATAATAAAACATGTGGTATATCACAATGTAAATCAACAATAAGCATTCTAAAGAAAACGGGATATTCTTGTTAACTAAATTCACTTCTAGGGTTACCTTTAATTACACCCTCCCTACTCTGCCTACTAATTGAAAATCACTAATCAAACGTGAGGCTAGAGTGAAACTGTCAACCCCCGTTCCCCTAGTATCTTTTCATTATTTCCTTTAAGATTAAGCAATCGATCCTTCCCATCTTCCTTTCATAATGTTCCTTTCTTACACTTTATTCTGGTCTGTTGTTCCTTTTGCAATTCATTATTTGGCCAAATGGGTATTGTCTTCATGGACTAATTCCGTTGGTGTATCCACGGTCCCCCCAAATCATAAATATTTCC